GAGAGGAGGAAGTCGACGAGTGCAGCAAGAGTTGGGAGAGCAGAGAGACACTGGAGGGGATAGTCTCTTGTGGCTGATTGCATGGCTACCGTCTTCACCCGAATAGAACGCTCGGTAATTATCGCTGTATTTCGACTGGAAGTTGGCCCAGATATAGCTCTAAATGACCGGGCATTCTATTTGGGTGAAGATGGTAGCACTGTTGAGAAGAAAATCTAGGCGGCAGCAATGACGCAATCGGGAAGGAAAAAAGAAATAGCGAGCAGCGTTGCGAGTGAACAAAACGGCATGAATCTGACCTGAATTATGCTGAATATGAGGTTTTGTGGAAACCGACTGTGTACTGCATCATGCGCCTGAAAGCTGTGTCTCAAGAAAGTGGAGAAGGACAGTCACACTCTCTCGTGATGTGTTGGCCTGTGCAGGGAGATGCTGGAAGATTAGGAGAGGGAGCAATCGATGGTGAGGAAGGCCGAATGATTTTTATTTCTGGAATGCTAATCTGAGACCGCATGATTCATTCGCTCATCTAAACAGCTTGTATTTAAATGCGACCGACTTTCGGTAATTCTGTAATTGACTTTCGGTAATCCTCCGATCGACTTTCGGTAATTCTGCAATCGACTTGGGTAATTCTCCGATCGACTTTCGGTAATTCTGCAATCGACTTGGGTAATCCTCCAATCGATCATGCTGGATCGCAAGGTAATCTCTATATCGACGTGCATCGCTGGTCGGGTGTCCTATACTTCTGTTGAGGATTGCATTAAGGAGTGAAGATGGAAAGTACAAGCAGAGTGAGGTTAGTGTAGTACTGTGTGTTGAATGGAGTCCCATCCTTTTGTTGTTTGAGAGCTTGTGGCTTGCCTTCTTCATCCCTTAAATCTTGTACGTATATGTCGCTTTCTTCTGTGCTGCAACACATGCTGTACGGCTAGCGATCTTGCCGCTGCTGCGATCGCCTCATGCGTTCGTGACCTTCGTGTTTGGGGCTTTTGGCTAGCGCAGCAGGGCAAGGGTGAGATGAGTACTTCGTCTAGAAGTGCTTCAAATTGCCCACCCTTAGAATTATTTTTATTTTTATTTTTTTTGGGACGTTCGTTGGAGGACCACTACTGCGGGCAGGGATAGGAGCCCATGCTCGTTCCCAGAGTGTCTCGTAGTTGTTCTGTCATTATTTGTCATTCAGAACACTGCTTTTGTTTGTACTCTCGGGTACCTGACGAACAAGTACACATCTTGAGGATGTGTGGCTCAGTAGGGCAAAGGCAAAGGCAATGAGTGCATACTCACACTAGGACTTTTCCCTCCACGCTGTGGATGTAATTGCAGTTGGGTTCGTGCGGGTCTGGCCGTAATTGCGGTCAGATGGATTTTGGAGAGTGCTAGTATGAGCATGCCCTGAGTGCTGTGTTGTGAAGTTCTTGAATTTATTGCCCAACCTTTTTCTGAATAGGGCGACTGCCTTGAGATATCATCATCGAATGATCGAACTGACCGGCCCTAGGCCATTCCAAATCGTCGCAAATCGTTGCAAATCATCTGTAAATCGTCGTAAATCGTCGTAAATCGTCGTAAGTCTTCCATAAATCATCGTAAATCGTTGTAATTTTACTCATCTTTTTCCAGTGGAGTTCGTACTCTGGTCTGCATTTCAACAGCTTGTTCAGGGGTGTACCGACTGAGCTATACGTCAGTTGGCGATTTTTTTGCCCAACCTGAGCAACCTCAGTTTTTTTTTTTTTTTTTYTTTTTTTTGTTCCCTGAGACGTCTGGTGGTCGGGATGTCATCATTTACCGTTTGGAACGCTGCTTTTGCTTGTACCGTCCGGCACCAGATGAACGGGGACGAGGACAGATCTCGAGGGTTTCACCGGGAACCTAGAGGCGGGCCTGCAGTGACGCCTTTGCTACTTTCTTCTCTCCTTTCTTTTTAGACGCGGTTCTTTGTTTCATCTCTTTTTTTTGTTTTTTTTGTTCTGCAAAGGGCGACGGCCTTGAGAGATATCATCGTTTAGCTGACTGGATTCACTGACATCTGGATTTGAACTCGGGTGTATATTTCAGCAACTCTTGGGGTGCGTACGAACTGAGCTAGGCCCATTGGTTGTATCTGTAGCAGCTATCAGTTTCGATACAGACTTCTGTTCAATCCCAGAGTGAGTGAAAACCGTTTTCACTCGCGGTAAATGCTTATTTCTCTGCTGCCTCATGATAGCCTCGTTGTCCTCTTCCTGCTTCTTCCTCTTCCCGCTTCTTCCTCTTCTGCTTCTGCTATTGCATTCACGGAAGGCTTCGTCTTCCTGACGAGGAATCGGCATCCGACTTCTTTTTCCATTTGTTGCAGCGTCCTTGTGCATGTGATGGGGAACGCTTGCAAGCACAAGCATGCCTTTTCAAACTTACTTCAAAGCCAAGTAGCATTGCCAATTGTGGGCTCCACAGTTTCCAGTCTAGTGTTTGGCGAGTCCTTCGGGAACATCCGTTAAAATTGGAACGATATAGAGAAGATAAGCATGGCCCCTGCACAAGGATAAGGTAAAAAACAAGAGAGAGAGAGAGAGAGAGAGAGAGAGAGAGAGAGAGAGAGAGAGAGAGAGAGAGAGAGTCTAGTTTAGTGATATGGATGGCAGAGATTGCAACCATATCGAGGTTGTTTCGGATGTATCCTTGCTGTCGGGTTTCAATTAAAGCAAGTGACAGAAGTAGGAGGGTGCATAGCTACTGCACGCTGTGGCTTGCAGGCACCCGACTAACAGTAAACAGCTCTGCATGCTCAGCAATGAGTATAGGGTCCACAGTCCAAATCCTCTTGGTCGCGGTTAAGAAATCTACCCGCCATGCCGTTGATGACGTGCCTAACAGTTGTGCAGGGTCAGCAATGGGTATAGGGTCCACAGTTTAATCCCTGTCGGTTGTTTGAGACATTTACCGGCGACGCTGGTGTGTCGTCATTCCTATGAAACATCAAGATCAATCTTCGATGATGGTGCCGCCGCTGCAGTTGATGGTGTGCCTTTGAGCTGTCCGTTGCACTTGTTAGTGGTCATGAGTGCGACAGATGGCAGCAGTCTGTGGACCCGCGCATGTCCATTCTTCTTAACCTTGTCGAAGAATGCGTGCATGTTCATTCTGCTTAACCTTGTTGAAGGATGCGCACATATTGATTCTGCTTAACCTTGTCGAAGGATGCGCGCACGTTGATTCTGTTTAGCCTTGTCGGAGAATGTGCGCATCTCACTGCATGAAACCGAAGGGTACATTTTGGTTCTGCAACGCCACGTTAAGGCGTGGCGTGGGACAGCAGCGTAGCACGGATCTGTGGGTGTGTAACTGGAATTGCGATGAAGCGCTCGACCACTTCTTGGAGGATGTTGGTGGTGACGGCGGTGATGGCTTTAATTATGTGTGGTAGCAACTGTGACGGTGACTCTGAGCAAGATTTCGAGACGGAAGACGGGTTCGGTGGAGTGCAAGGGCCACCCGTAAAGCATGAATGTGTCCACGATGTGCTTTCCTCTAAGTTCCTAGCAGGAGCTGCTCACCGGGAAGCATCCATTCGCGCTGGTCTCGCTAGGAGTTTGGAATGGCACCGAAGGCAATCGAGGAAAATTGCGGCTACAGAGCCACCCGCCTACATGCGCATACGGCCAGTGTATCAGTTGGACGAATTAGACAGCGAAACACAGGGGTATGTTCAGAACCTACTGATCCCGTCTGCAATTGGGTACTTTGAGAGGTTGCTACAAGTTAAGGATGCAAGAAGTGGCCCGCTTCGTCTGCATGCAAATAACTGCCGAATGTTTTCGGCCGGAAATCGCTCAGCAGTGGAGCGAACCTGTCATGAATGGGGCCTGCCTCGGTGTGAGCTTGCGACGGTCAACGCCTCGCTTCTGGATGCCTACAGAACTTGCGTAAGCAGGAGGGGGGGTATGGCATGCCACACCACGCCTGCCGGGCCCGGTTCGCCAGATACAGACTACTTGCTGTTTGTTACTGCGAAGAGGACGGAAGCGTGTTCAATGACAACGTTGGGACATGCGGTGCACTGCGAGCAAGACTTGCTGACCAGGCGGCCAATTGCAGGGAACGTGAACCTCTGCCCGGACGCCGTTAGCGCCACTGGAAACTGGCACCAGCAACTGGCAGTGTCGATCCACGAGATCACGCACACGCTTGGATTCAGCTCTCTCCTGTATGGCGATTTTCTGGACGAAGCAGGTGCACCGCGAACAGAATTTCTGAAGACCGTGATGCGTCCCAGCGGCGTGAATGCGACGATGATAGTTTCCCCGCATGTCAGGGCTTATGCTCAGGCACATTTCAATTGCCCGTCGCTGGCCGGTGGGGAGGTTGAGAATAACGGACTTACAGGGGTCACGGCGCTCAGTCACTGGGAGGCGGCAGTCTTCCAAGGCGAGAATATGGTCAGCATCTACCAGCTTGTTGGCATTATGTCGAACATGACCTTAGCGCTTCTTCAGGACACTGGCTGGTATGAGGTGAACTTTGGCATGGCTGGACATTTGCTGTCTGGGAACAACCTTGGTTGTGAGTTTGCATTGGGCAGCTGCAGTCCTCCGAACGTTTCCAGCGTTTTCGAGGGTTACTTCTGTGCAAACATGCATAGACGGACAGCCACCTACATTAATCCGATGGGTCAGGAGGTCGTGAAGTCGCTAAAAGGTGAGTGTACGTACGACTATTTGGCAGCCGGTTCGTGCGTCTCTTGTTCGACAGACACAGGCATCTGTTTGACTGACAAATGCATCCCGATTCGTGGGTACGCAGATAAGAAGTGTCAGGACATCACAGCGGCCCAAAACAAGGAGGGGCAGGGTGATGACCATGGTCAGTATTTCGGAGAGGCGTATGGGCCACAGTCAAGGTGCTTTCTTCAAGGATCGGCTTATTGGGTGCGGAATGGAACCCCGGCTGGCGAGGTGGGTAGCATGAATGCGCCGCTTGGCGCCGGATGTTACAAGGCCAATTGCACCCTCGATGTCAATGGGCAGTTCGTGCTGGATGTGATGATCGGAAGCGACTGGGTGAGGTGTTCCGATGGACAGGAGATCTCTCTTGCGTTGCTAGGCTATGAGCAAGGGATATTCGGGCCATGCCCGGTGGCGGCAGATTTCTGCAGATACGCAATGTGCCCGAACGACTGCAGTGGGCAAGGTGTCTGCTACATGGGGGATTGTACGTGCTACAGCGGCTTCGCTGGCGAGGACTGTAGCCAGATTGCCTGTTCGCCATTTTCACAACCGTGTCCGGAGGGTTCAAACTGTGACCGAACAACTGGACTGTGCTCTGCAGCTGCTGATGCACAACCCACGCTTTCAAGTAGGCGCCGGATGAGTTTGGAACGGAGATCGCTTGCCAAAACAAGTGACCCACCACCTCCTCACCCAGCAAACACATCAAGCACAGCGAACGCAACGAGCGTAGTGAACACAGCGAACACGACAAGCAAAGCGAACACCACGAGCACGACAAGCGGAACGAACACATCGAACGGTGAGGGAGGCAATTCCACGGATAGTGGCTTCATCACTCCATATTCCGGTGGAGTTGCTGCAGAACTTCCCAAGTACGGAGTTCTGGTGCTCGCAACAATCCGATTCGGAGGTTCTAATGTGACTAAGCTTCAGGATACCGACGTGCGGAAAGAGTTTGAGACCGAATTCATTCAGGAAATGTCAGCTGCTGCTCGCGGTGTCGGATACGGTGAGGCGCTGGAGGTTGTGATTGATGGCCTAAGAGAGGGAAGCATTCTTGTGGGATCGGTCACAGCTTTCAGTACGGCGCAAGACTTCCACCATCCCATTCTGTTCGCAAGACTCGTGAGTTCGAACCCGCAGTCCATCTTTGCCAACAGCACCTACTTCATTCGGTTGCCGATGGGAAATGTGACATCGCTGAACATAGAGGTCAAGTCGGCACCCCCGAACACAAAGCTCACCCCACCAAGCAAGCATGCTTGGAGGACCAAGTTCCTTAACGAGCCTGCTCTCCTTGGCGCAATCGTCGGCGTTCTTATCGTCATTGCCTGCTTGCTTTGCCTCCTCTGCAGCAGGAGTTCACTTCTTCGGCGCCGGGAAATTACGACCCAGCAAGTTATGATGACCGCGTACCCACCCCCTGTAAATGCGGGCCCATACAAAGAGATGAACGTCTTTGGGACCCCTTTGAGGGAGTCGTCCCGAGGGTAACGGATGGAAGGGTCCAACTGGAAAGCTTTTTGTTTTCGTACATGGACCGGTGGTGGCCTACTGGAATGTTCATCGCATTGTACATACGGGTGTTTTCGATGCGCGCGGTCAAAAATGGCGAGTACGTTTCGATGCTGGTCGGGTTTCAAGCGCATTGTCAACACTGATCAGTGGTCATCAAGTACGTTTATCCAAAGCCCGCAGATCAGTTGCGCAAGTGCCTTTTCGAGAAGTCAGGGGGTCAGTGGTCGTCAAGTGCCCTCTGAGAAATCCGCGGGTGAATGGTCACCAACCACCTTGCAAGAAATTGGTGGATCAGTGGCTAAGCGCCTTTTCGACGACACTGGTTCCTTCGCGAGGATGACAAGCATAAATAGAGAAGGCCCCTGTGCGATTTGGCAGAGATGGTCAACTATGCCAAATGCCATTTTTATTTTTTTTATTTTTTTGAAAATTTAAATGCCTTTTTTTTTTCAACACTGGCCTCTGCGGAAGGATGACATGACATGCATAAAATGCCATAAATTGAGAAATGGTCCTTTCTTTTTTGGATTAAAAAGAAAAAGAAAAAAGCCGAATGCCTTCTGAACACTGGCACCTAGTGGTTGAGTGTGAGCCTTTTGGACATTGGCCAGTGTTCAAGTGCCTTTTGGATCAGAGTCGGGGGTCAGTGGTGGGGTCAAGTGGCTCTTTCGCAGGTGTCCGCGGTTCTGCAGTTTGGGGCTTTTCTGCTACTACATGCAACATTTTTGGATGCAGTTCACTCGAGTTCACTTGGGGTTGGTGGAAGCAAATACGGTGTGCATGTTCTGGGCTTTTGTTCGCACACACACGGAAAAATGGCAGGCAGTGTTGTTCGAGTGGGTTTTTGAAACTGGTCAGCATCTGCCGTTTCAGGCGTTTGTGTGGACTTCACAGGCAGTTATGCAATGTCATTGGTGAAGGAGTCTGCTTCTGCTTGGGGTTGGCAGGAGCTATACTACAGTGTCCGTCCGTCCAGACAGTGTCGTGGCTTCTTGATCACCGACCATTTTCTGTTTGAGCACGGAAACAATGGGCCTCGCTCCACTGCTTTTGCCTCATGCACCACAAAAGACCAGAAATAGGGCGGTGCATCTTCCCATGTTCTAGTGGAAGACTCGTTCTCATTTTGCACATTTGGTGAGTAGTAGGTAATGGAGCGCGGCCCAAATTGAATGGCAGGTAGAGTTATCCTGCAGCGGGCCCAAATTGAATGGCAGGTCGTATCCTGAACTGGCCCTGCAGTTTCTGACATCAGCGCCGAATGTACAGGCAGGCATGCAATAGCGTTGGGTTGGTGGAGTTGTCCACGTGGGGTTGGCGGGAGGCTGGGAGAAGCTACGGTGTTCGTTCTGGTTGTCAGTTTCTGACGTCAGGTGCGCACGTAACAATGACGGACGGTATTCTTGTCAAGCACAAACATTCGTCGAGTTTTTCTGACGAGTCGGAAAGGGGGGGGGTGGCGAGTCGTGCCCCCTTCCAACGGCATGGCACTGATGGCAGTGATCGATCGATCGATCGATAGATGGGGGCGGAAGCACACGAGTCTTCCGGATGTGTTCTGTACGATGATGATCAACTCCTACGCATTCCCTCGCACCATTGAACCATTTCGATGCTGCAGACACACTTGAGCGCCAAGCCAAAAGCGGTCAAGTGGTCAAGTTCGGTAACCAAGTGGTCAAGCGCCTTTTCGATCTCTGGAGGGTCAGTGGCAAAGAGAGACGGAGATGCCACCTGCTACAAAAGCGCTGAAACGAAGTCAAGTGTCCTTTCGATCAGCGACGGGTAAGTGGCAGAGACGGGGGATTCAGCGTTCAAGCTGAGAGATGTGGCAGCAATTGAAGCAAGCAGCGTCGCTTCGATTGCTTAGAGAAACGGCGGCAACAAGCTTGAGAGATGCGGCAGCAATTGAAGCAAAGCAGGTTCGCTGTGCGATTGCGTAGAGAAGCTGCTGCAAGAAGCTGAGAGATGCGGCAGCAATTGGAGCAAGCAGCGTCGCTTCGAATGCTTCGAGAAATTCCAACAATCATCCTTTGCAAAGGCATCATCCTTCGCAAAGGCATCATTCTTCGCAAAGGCGTCATCCTCACCACCAAGTGGTTGAGTGCCTTTTCGACGAGTGAGGGGTGAGCGAGTGGCAAAGACGGGATTCGCCGAGCAAAGCCGAGAGATGCGGCAGCAGTTGAAGGAGTGCGCTGAAATGAATGCATCCATTGGAGGAGGTGAATGGCTTCTACGGCATCCGCCTTCCAGGCCAAAACCAAAAGCCAGTGTCAGCCTGTTACAGGAGGTGGTACGAGCATCTTCCCCTGGTAGGCCTATCGCTGGTCACTCCGCTTCTCTGTGTCCTCTGCCCATTCTTGATTGAAACTGGAATCTCCACTCTACCTCATTGAGATTCGGCGGCCCAACCCCTCCAATGAGGTATACGAGAATGTCGCCCTGTGGTGGGGTTGGGCCGCCGAATCTCAACGAGGTAGTGGGGGTTGGGCCGAAGAGATATACGAGAAGGTCGCCCTGTGGAGGGGTCGGCCCACTCCGCTTCCCCTCGTAGGCCTATTGCTGGTGACTCCGGTTTCTGGGCCCTTGAAGGCCCTTGAAGGCGTCGCCCTGTGGAGGGGTCAGCCCACTCCGCTTCCCCTGGTAGGCCTATCGCTGGTCACTCTGGTTTCTGGGCCCTTGAAGGCCCTTGAAGGCCTGTGGGTGTCAGAGCGTCAACCGAACGGAGCAATGTACAAAGCCCGGGCCTTTAAGGGCCCAGAAACCGCCAGTAGCCTGTGGCCATCTGATCGTCAATCTAACGGAGAAATGGGCAATCATGGGCCTACTAGGGCCCAGGGCGCAGGGCCAAGGGCGGTCAGATAAGGTGGCGGTGGGGATCGTTACGATGACTGGGCATTTGCAGCCTCGAACCGACCTTCCTTCCCAGGACATGATGCACTGTCACAATGAATTTGAATGCATTTGCACGGGAAGAGGGTTTGTGTACGTTCATGATTATGGGGTGTTATGTATGCTCGGGTGAAGAAGGTAGAGCCTGCGGAGGTGAGTTGGTTCGTACATAAGAGGTGGGTGAATGCATCTGGACGGCAAGAGGGTTTGTATGCATTCCTGAGGCTGACGGTTTGTTCAGATGCGATTTTGAGGTGAAGGACAGAAGTTTTTCTTTTCCTTTTTTCTTTCTTTTCCTTTTTTCTTTCTTTTTTTTTTTTTTTTTTTTTTTTTAACATTTAATATCCTGTGAAGACCTGCGGCCTGTTGGTGGTAAGAGAACCAACCAGGTCGAGGTCTGCTAGTGGATGACTCCGTTCCATCGGCAGGGAGCTGCACCTGCTGGAAAACGGGTTCAGCGTCCCCCAATATGAAAACAATAGTTGGAAAATGAGCCCTCTGGTTGCATTGCCCACAGCTCTTAGCTTGGAAAACCTCCTAGTGGGGTGGAGCTGCACCTTCTAGTGGATGACTCCTACTGGGTGGAGTCCCAGTAGGAGAAGCTGTCAGCCTGTTACAGCCCGCGTGAAGATAACCAACCTGCAACATTAGCATTCTAGAGGGGTGGCTATAACCAAATGCTAGAGGGGTGGCTATAACCAACCTGCAACACTAGAGGGGTGGCTATAACCAACCTGCGACACTAGCATTCTAGAGGGGTGGCTATAACCAACCTGCAACACTAGCATTCTAGAGAGGTGGATATAACCAACCTGCAACACTAGCATTCTAGAGGGGTGGCTATAACCGCCTGCAACACTAGCATTCTAAAGGGATGGCTCTTGCTGAAAATCTATTTACCCTCTTTGTTACAGGTAGTATTGGTCTAGTGTGTCGGGGCGTTCTCCACCCCGTCTCTGAGCAATAGTGAGGAGAGATTGCACGGCCTTTGTCAGACAAAGTTATCTCGCCACTTGAATGGGCTGGCCCATACTGTTATCATTCTTGCTCCTAGCTGTTTGGGGCAGAGGGTGAGAGAGTCTAGTCTTCCTTTTTTTTTTTTTTTTTTTTTTTTTTTTTTAAGACATGCTCCAATCTATTCGTGGGGAGCAGCATGTGCTGGCAATCAGGCTCAGCGTCTAGTCTTCCTCCATTCTGCCCAAATCAAGTTTTACGAATAGCAAATTTAAACTTAATTCCGACTGCAGACTGAGACCAGCGGGCGTTTTTGAATTCTCTCTCTCTCTCTCTCTCTCTCTCTCTCTCTCTCTCTCTCTCTCTCTCTCTCTCTCTCTCTCTCTCCCCCTCTCTCTCTCTCTCCTGGCTAACCAGAACATCCAGAAGCCTGCTGACCTGAACTTGTTTGCTAATATCACTTTTGTGTTCCTATTCATATTACCTGTCATGATGAAACATTTCGTCCAGATTGCTTCTGGGCCATATGCTGCGAACCTAATGCGGCTGACCCATTCCCAGAACCCCCTGGCAATGACACACTCGCACCAGTATTTCCGATGCACTTTTATCCGGGTCTGCAAACGACCTGCGCGCCTCGAAAAAAAAATGAACCGGCGCGGGCCTCATTTTGGCTGGCACCTCCAGCCGTTTGCTCGGGAGGCCAAGCTCCAAAAGTTGCATTAGCATGCAAGCCGCGGCTTTGAAAAAATGCCTGGGAAACGTACTGGTGGTTTAAACTTTAAACCATGGGTATAGCGGCCGGCAGTGGGTACTCGAACGTAAAGAAGCCAAGTACTCCGTACTCCGTGTCCGCTGGAGAAGGATTGAACACGCATCTTGTTTGTCGGACGAGGGCAGAAGCAAAGAGTGCGATAACGTACAGGAGGATGAGGATGTTAGCAAGTTGGACTGTGGTCTAGGTTCGGCGAATCAAAGAAAGAGATTGAACACGCATCGTGTGTTCGTCCCACTGACCGCACCGAAAGATGTGAGTGATACTGGGCCTGGTTCCCTTCTCCAACCTATAATGAATTTGTCTTTATGAAAAGAAAAGAAAGAAAGAAAGTGGAGCGGCCACGATGCACCACGAAGCGAAGGCTGGTGTGCAAACATCCTCCGAGAACGGACCGCTAATTTCACCGAAGGTGAGGGGGAATTTGTTTTTAATGGATATATAGCCACCGCTCGTTGCTACTGGAAAGTCAACAAGGTTGAATGCTCTGTGCTTGCTGGAGGGCGAGAGATAAGGCCGCGGAGTCGTCGGCGCGCCAAGTATCTTGTCGGCAGCACGCGAACATGAACAAGATGAATACTGGGTGTTTGCTAGAGGACGAAAGCTAAACTAAAGGCATTGATGCATGCGGAACAAGCGGTGTTTTTTTTTGTCCTTTCTGGGAACCACCACTAGCTCCAAGGCACGTTTTTTT